AACTTTTCCAGCATCTATAGAAGCATCAACGTCTGAAAAATTAATTTCTTGAACAATTGATGATTGGAATTCCTAAGAAAATAGTAAATAATACTATTGAAATGCAAGTTAGTAAACTTTATGCTTCATTCAAAATTTTTATCAATTTGTACATTAGATATTAGTCACAGTTGCTAGCTAAAGTTTAATAATAATTTTTATTGTATAGTAGTATTAACAAAAACACGATAGTACAATACTAACCAAAGAACAATTATTTTCAGTTGTATTAATTGATATATCCTCAGCTATGTGTAAATAGTTTGGCAAGCATGCAGTTTGGCAAGGAATAACCTAAGGATTAAATGGATAAATTCAACACAATTTGAACCCGGATGTGATGTTGCTAGTCATCGCTTTTTCCCAAGCTGAAGCAAATATCCCTGAAATCTTGAACGACAGGTAATTATTCCTGGAAACTGACCGATCAGATCTTGTGTTGTAGAGCGATAATAATCCTTCAGTGGTTTGAATAAGGTTCAGTCGCATGGTTGAAGCCAGTTTGATTTGTGTAAAGGCATTTCAACTATATATATCTGGTTCTGAATAGCAGTATCAATGAGCTCAATTAAGTTGTGAGAATCGTGCACATTCAGAATCAATAACTGAGGACGTTATGGTCCAATATTTTCTAAAAATGTCTTGGTAAGCCATTATTTTGCTAAGCCCTGTTTAATCCAACCACTATCGGACCATCTCCAAAATGTTCCCGGAGGCGCGAACTCAGTGTTAAAACCCCATAAAGACCTTGATGTCTATCCCTTTACTTTAACCTGGGGTGGAATGAACTTGCTCAGTGCATTCACACATGCAATAACAGTGATTGACTCTCGATATCCACTCGTTCGACTATGGAGGTTTTTTGTGTCTTTTCGTACAACCACTTTTATTGATTTTGCGTCAAGTTGTAGATCAGTTTCATCCATATTCCATATGGATTCTGGTTTAACGTGAAAACCCTTTTTCACCATGACGTTATTCAAAGCACTAAAGTACTTTGACACTTTATTTTTATCGATACACTGATGTCGAACTGAAGCTGTACCCTCAGGTTGTCGCAGAGTAAATTTATGCCCATGCCGGTGTTTAACCCGAGTCCACAACTGGTTGCTTGAAAGTACTTTCTTAAAGTTGAATTTATGTTTTGCGGCAAGTTTCCAAGCATAATTCAGGAACTGTGACTTTCCAAAACCAACCCCTAACTTTGCTCTATTGCTGGCATAATCGATAAGTTTTTCTTCCAGAGCAAAAGGTAGGGTAGGTTTTCTTCCTGGCTTTGCTCCAATAACAACTTTTTCAGAAAGTCTGTCTCTCAGAGTTGTACGTGGCACATTGTACAATATTGCACTGAAAATGATTGTTGCCTTACGCATTGAAAATGATGGCTTTGATTTGACATGCTTAATTGCACTCATCATATTTTCTTCACTCCATTTCAGGAATTTGCCCCATTTCTTAACAATAAATGATTGATCGATGGAACAATTGAAAACATTGACACGAGTTAAAAAAACATCAATTTTTGCTACCTGTTTTATATGACAAATGTCAAGAGTACTACTACCAGATGTTGAAGGAGTTGTACCACCATGAAAATGAGTTGTATTATAACATATTGTAGCCTCTGTTACAGAAGCAATCTTTCCAACCGACATGGTTAAAACAAGAAATGAGGGATCTACATCCCCCACCTCTTGTTTTAACCATGTTTTTTTCAAGACAATACCTAGATAAATTAAACTGCAGTATGAATGTCATATTAATTTAATAAAGTGCCCCAAATTTACAAGAGCTACAAATATTAACTCGTGGTGAAAACTATATGTTAGTATTTGTAAATAAGCATTTAGCTAAGTAATTACAAAAGTCTATTAAATAAAAATAAAAACATTCTTATTATGCATAAAATGAGTTTTAGACCTTTTGAACCTAACGTTTTGGACCAGATGTTTTAGTTATTTTAATTACTAAAATATTAGTTTTTAAATTAAAAATAAATAAAACAATCGTAGATAAAATATGCATTATTACTAAACACCAAAAAATTATTTCTAAAAAAAAACATAGCATAAAAAGATAAAATTCCTAATTCTTTCTTGCCAATAATTATCAGGAAAAGAAAGTGCAAGAGCAGACAAAGTTTACTTATTTGCAATACTTTGCGACAATATATTTATTCTGTTGGCGAGATTGAGTTAATTTGATATGTTGAGCAGAAAGCAATTTTATGCATATTCTACCATTTCAACTGAAATTTTAGTGAAAAATTTACAGTTTTCACTAAAATTTTAATTTCAGTGGGGCTGAAATTTAGATTTCAGTAAAAACTGTAATTTTGTGTGTTTGTTTATATATGTTTAAAAGATGTACAATTGATATTATTGTAGATTTAGTAACCTGAAAAGAAAAGGTATGCTGGTGGAACCAACAACAGAAAATGATTAAAATAGTCAGATTAACGATAGCAAAAAAGGTTTTTAGCGAAAACGATGACTGTGTTCAGACAGGGGACAATGAAGATAGTAATCAATATGAGGAAGACATCGCCTACCTTGCAAAAGAAATTTGTCTTGTATGGAAAGTGAATGATTGGGTTGCTGTTGTATATAAAAAACAATGGAATATAGGATATACTGTGGAGGTAATATTATTTTAAGCATATATTAGTTTTCAAGTTTTTGTTTTACAAAAAAGTGCACTAAAATAAAAGCAACATAAATTAAATATAAAAAATCGAAAAAAACATTATATTACACTTTGTAAGTTTTACTGAATGTGAACAAAATTAAACAACTCATAAAGTCTAGATTATATTTTTTTAAATGTTGCGTTAATACTTTTATGTATCTTTAACTGGGATCAAAGTTATTTGTATGAACAACGGATAAGAGAAGAATATTTTTCGCTGGCCAGTTACTCCCGAGGAAATAAACTACTAAACTGAAAAAATTATTTGTTTAGTAGATGCCCTTTTTTTAATTAATGGTTATGGCGATTATTCATTATCCGAAGAAGAATATAATACAGTCATTTCATTATTCTTAGAGAAACTTACTGCAACAGAGTAAAATATATGTGGTGGATAATTTGTTTTATGAGTTATAAATAACTCTGTAAAAAATTTCTGAAAGAACAACAACTTTTTGAATGGAAATACATTTAAATGTCTGATTTTATGTTTCATTTAATTAGCAATTTTTTTGTTGATCAATTTTTGTTCAATTTTTAATTTATGTTATATCATGTGTGTGACGAAATCACGCGAACTTTTTTTATTATTGTGTTAGGATCACATCGCATTGCCATTTGGATATGTTTACATTTTTACATTTAACAAAAAGTATTATAGTATAATGCAGTATACTATAACATTTTTTTAATTTCAAGCCTTAATATATGAATAAGCCTTATAAGGCTTATTCATATATTAAGGCTTGTATTATACCTATAGGTATAACAGGTATTATATTATACCTATAGGTATAACAAAATTTTCTTTCCATTTTTAGACTCGATACCTACGATACTTATAAATCCTCCAAGAAAAATTGTGTGCAACTCTTCGCCGTTAGAAATAACTCCTATTAAAAACTGACAAAAATAGATGTTTTTGTACTTTTTAACTATGATAGTAAGCCAATCGCACAGTGCACTGTGCGATTGCGTATATATATATATATATATATATATATATATATATATATATATATATATATATATATATATATATATATATACATATATTATATATACATATCAAAATATATTTTGGCACTCAAAAGATGCGATAACATAAAGTTTAGAGCACCTTTTTTTTTTGAAGGTTTGTGAAAATTTAGAAAAATGGTCGATGAAAATGAAAAAAGATGCGGTTTTTAATTCGTTTTCAACGGTTTCTATTTCACGTCAACCTGCTAGAAAGAGTGGTTAAAAAAAATCCAAAGTAAAAATAACTATAACTTAAAACTTCTAAAAAAGAGCAGTGAATTGTTTTCTATCAAGTTTGTGATATACATGATGCTTTATCTGCATTGTCAGATGTTGAAGAATCATGAAATTGCACTTAAAGCGGTATTACTAGATGATGTTGTAGTTACTATACAACATATATTAGTAATATTGTGGCGTGGAGGGTGGCGCCGATAATAGTGGGGCGCACTGGAAATTTTGCTTTTTTACGATAGGTAAGTCGGCGCCTGAAAAAAAAGTCTATGAAAAGCTTAAAGCAAAATTTGTATCAATTTTCATAAAACAAGGATTTATATTCTATTCTGACATTAAATAATTTAGTTGACACTTCTCACAAACGACAGCAATACTGCGTTATTGCCGTCATTTGTAAGAGTTAATTATTTGGTCGTTTGTTAAGTGTTAATTATTTCTTTAATATCAGAACAGAATATATATCCTTGTAGTAGCTTTAATGAAAAATGATTAAGTTTTTGTATAATTAAAAGAAGTGTTGAACACAAAAAACATAATAACAAACTTTTTTTTTTTTCATTTATACATCAGGGCCGATGACATGGGTTTCGAAATGGAGGGATACAATCGTCAATTTTTTCTATATCTGGAATTTTCTTAAAAAAAAGAAAAAAAGAAAAAAAAAGGTCCTTCTAAAAAAAAAGTGGGAGAGGGGGGACACGTGTCCCTTGTTTCCCTCCCCCCTCAGTGTCGTCGGCTCTGTATATTAAAAATTCGACACACTGAAACATTTTTACAACTTGTTTAGCAGTACTATACTCAAATGCGATTCCCATTTTCAATTTACCTATTAGCCTATTTTCTGCATTGTTTTTACACATTTGTCTTTTGGGGCCATCCATAAAGAACGTCACCATTTTTTAGCCAATTTCTGACAACCCACCCTCTCCCCTTGTCCTTTTTTGTCCTTTTTAACTCGACCCCCTCCCCTCCTATTTGGATGACGCCCTTTATGGATGGCCTCTATATAATTATATAAGAATCATTATATTATGACTTGTTTTTTTGTTTTGTTTTTTATGGACGGGGATTTAAGAATGAGAATTTATTTTGATTACAAAACAATAACAACGTGCAGCGAATAAGTGACTCTTTATTCTTGAATAACAAGTAAGTGACCGGCTAATTAAAACTTTATGTGATTGATTAAGTTAGAGTAAGCAGAATTTAATATCACCAATTTATGGATAGAAAAGTTAGATTTTACCATGTGTCTGTTGACGGAATTAGCAATACTTTATGGACTTTAAGTCAGATTTTTTTGCTTACCTGGACCCCGATAATTGTAAATTCTGCAACTCATTGGGTATTAGAAGATGGCATGATTAAAAGTCAGGTATGTAACTTGTATAATACGAGAACAGTAACTAATAAAACGTAAAAATGCAACTTTAAGTCTACGACTATATTATTTAGTGTATACTATACTATATTATATATATATATATATATATATATATATATATATATATATATATATATATATATATATATATATATATATATATATATATATATATATATATATATATATATATATATATATATATATATATATATATATATATATATATATATATTATGTATATATATATTATAAATATGTACACTATACTGTATTATATATGTATTATAAAAATTGTTAATAAGGTATAGTGGTATAGACTATAGTGGTATATATTCAGTGTGGTATACTTTGACTTTCATTACAATCTCAACTGTGCAAAAATATTCAAATGGCATATTTTTTCAGCCCAATATTGACAAAATAAGATAAACAAATATTTACATCCTGATTTAGTTCATTTTACAGTCAATACAAATGCAATAAGCATTTCCAGCAGCTGAAACTTTACTACTGCATTAGCATTGTTTATATCTGCCCAAATAGTTTTCTGTTTAAAAATTATAGGAACACATCCAGCCTTTTTAAATAATATATAAACCAGTTTTAATGAAACAATAAGAGTTAAAATTATCATTATAACATATAAAAGGAATATGTAATGATTTGGATACATTAGGAAAATAAACCAGTTTGATTACAACATGCTCACAAGTTTAGATTTGTGTCAAAAACAAAAAAGCAACCTTTAAAATAGTTTATCATGGCTGAGAAATAGGTTCATCAAACTTAAATTTGTTTGTATCCTTGTATTAATCTAGTCATAAGAAATGTTTGATTCAAAGCACTTTGAATCATGAATAATTTTGGTTATTAATATCACCTCCTTGACTAAGTGTAACTGTTTAAACAGATCTGCAGTAAGCAATTTCAGATTTCAACAATTTTTCAATTATTTTTTATAGTTGATTTTCAATAAATAACAATTTTAACTAAATTTTTACTGATGTCAAATCTAAACATTTCAAAAAAAAAAAAAAAAAAAATTATTGTCATATAAAAAAAGAATATATGAGGTGATTTTTAGATAAAGATAGAGTTTAAAAAATTTTACTTCAAAAAGAGTATAATGCTCTAAAAAAGAGTATGTCTATTCACCCTATATATATATATATATATATATATATATATATATATATATATATATATATATATATATATATATATATATATATATATATATATATATATATATATATATATATATATATATATATATATATATATATATATATAGATAGATAGATAGATAGATAGATAGATAGATAGATAGATAGATTATTTATTATTTTCAGTGCAAACGTGCAATTGTTTATTTAATTTGTAATGGAACAATTAAAGATTCACAATCCAAATTCAATTTACACTTGAGACTTGCACACACAACACCAGTACTTCAATGATAAATTTATTTTGTTAATTCTTTTGCCAAAAAATGAAGAAAAAGAAATCATTAGACTTGGATTAAATAATAATAATAGTTATTGTAATAAATGTTGATATTATTATAATTGCTATTATTATTATTATTTTAATTTTCTTATATATTATTGCTGAAAGTAATAATAGTGCCCACTTGTGCGTGTTTGATACAGAACATGCACAAATGGTGTTGTGTATAACACAGTGCATGTTTAATAATATTATCATTTTGATTATATTCACTGTTTTAGGTTGATACATGGTATAACATTTATGACCCTAGTGATCTTATGCTGTTCATTCAACAAACTGAAACTGCTGATGAACTTAAAGCACTTGAAAAACAAGAAGACTTAAAATTTCATACTAGTTTCCTCACTGCAGATGCCATTCAAAAAAATCAAGAAAAGATAGCATTTCATTCAGACCTTGACTGTCAAATTGCTCGTAAAAAACTATCACAGTTTGATCTGTATCTTAGTTCTTTTCTTAGATTAGATGCAAAGGGTATTATGTATGTATGAACTAATTTTTTTTTTATATCTTACTTCTAACTTTTACTTTGCTTTGCTGTTAAAGGAAGAAAATAAAATAGAAGGTATTATAGGCCCTCTAATGGTATATCATTGGCTATTCTAGGAAAAAAATTAGGGCGGTGGTATCCCTCATCCCAGAGAAATTTAGTAGAAATATTGCCGAATATCAGCATTTTTCACAACAAAAAAAAGAATTTGCTGTAAAAAATGCAAGAGAAAAAAGGTCCTCAATTTTTAATTTGGATTTTTTTAATTTAATATGGTTGGCCCTGTCAAAAACAGTTTAGAATAGCCCCTGTATAGTGTTTTATAAATAGGTTTACCTATACAAAGCATGTTTTATAAATAGGTTTACCTATACAAAGCATGTTTTAATCACCTATCAACTTGAGGAATGTGATCAGAAGCTTTTAGTTTTACTTTAGCTCTCACACTATTCTTAGAAGTAATTATTTAAAATAGGCCTATTCTTAGAAATAATTTGGATGGCGGTACCCCATCATTTTTGCAGACTTTAGCGGAAAATCTGCTTTTTTTTTTTTGCGAAAAAAACAATGTTTGCTGTAAAAACGTAAAAAAACGTAAAAAAAAAAAAGTCCTTAAATTTTAATTTAGGTGGCACCCAAATATGGTTGACGCTGTCAAAACAGTCACAAATATAACCCCTAATAACCCCTGATATATATATATATATATATATATATATATATATATATATATATATTTATATATATAAATAAATATATATATATATATATATATATATATATATATATAAATAAATATATATATATATATAAATAAATAAATATATATATATATATGTATATATATATATATATATATATATATATATATATATATATATATATATATATATATATATATATATATATATATATGTATATATATATATATATATATATATATATATATATATATATATATATATATATATATATATATATATATATATATATATATATATATATATATATATATATGTATACAGCCTTTCTCAGAAGACGCGTGCGGTCACATGCCTTGAATGAAAAAAAAAAGATTTGATTGCCTTTCTCCTAATACAAAAAAAACTAGTTTAAAACCTTTTATATTTTGTTTTGCTAAAACAAAATATAATATTTGTTTGTTTAATATTTAATAATATTTGTTTGGGGGGTCATCCATAAACACATCATATTTGTCAATTCTAAACCCTTTCCCTCATGTCACAAAAAATCACATATACTCCTCATGAATGTTATAAAAAATCACTCAGAAAGACTGCTACCATTTTTTAAAAATTTCCTTAGTTAATTATTTTTAATGAATGAGTTCAATACTTTTGCAATTCTTTTGTTATTTAACTCTAATTGTTAATATTAGATAAACAAAATTCTCAATCAATAATGTAAATGATGTAGCGTAAGTAACATATACAGTATCAAAAAAACAAGTTTATTTTCCTTTGCTAGTCAACTCTGATAGGTTTTTATATATTTTTAAGTTGGTATAGAATTCTCAACATCTTGTTAACATTTTTCATAGAACTGCTTTACTGATTCGCAGAAATCAGACCTAAAAGTTGAAGCAATTTTTTTTACCTTGTTTTTCGTGTAACATAAGTTTAAGTGGCATTTTCAGCAATAAATTCACCTTTTTTTGACTCAAAACTTTTTAGTTTTATTTTATTCATAAGACTAACAGCTTTCATACAAAACAGCTAAAATTGTTATTTAAAGTTTAAATATGCTTATATTTGATAAAGTTTTTGCGTGTGTAGTGTAAGTTAAAAATGAAATTGCCCATATATATATATATATATATATATATATATATATATATATATATATATATATATATATATATATATATATATATATATATATATATATATATATATATATATATATATATATATATATATATATATTTTATGTTTTTATTTTCTCATTAATAACTATAATAATAAATTATTAATAAGAAATAAAATGATATGACAAATTAGATTGTTTTTTTCAATCTTTTTTTTTTTGGTTAGTTTATTTTTTTTTTTTGGTTTTGAAACTTTTTCAGCATTGATTTTTGTTTTCGAAACTTTTTCTGTTTTTGTTTTGTTTTGGATCATTGTTTTTTTCAGTGCGTTTTTAAAATGCGCCATTTTTTATATATGCAAAAAAATCATGGCCAAGTTATCAACAAAAACAAAAAAATATGCATGGTCATTCAAGGCGTGCAACCACACACGTCTCCTGAGAAAGCCTGTGTATATATATATATATATATATATATATATATATATATATCATTTTGAAGTTCAAACTATTACTAAAAAAAACACCTTGTTTGATTTAAAATATCAGTTTGCTTATTAACTAACTAAAGTTTATGTTATGAAATATATATATATATATATATATATATATATATATATATATATATATATATATATATATATATATATATATATACTTTGAAAAAAAAGTTACATTACACTTATAAAGCACTTATTACTTTTAAAGTTCATTCTTTGTTCAAACAACATTATTAAATCCAAACATTTATTAAAGTAGAAAAGCATCTAGAAAAAATAAATTGGATATTAAAATATTAATAAAAATTTCACGAATTTTTACAGATCACTTAAACAATGTTATAAAAGAGTATTTTATAAAAAGTATAGCATTATGAAAAATGTTACATAAAAATGCGTGTTAGTTTTAAAATCAACCAATAAAAATTTTTTATTGGTTATTTTTAAAATTAAGGCGTATTTTTTCGGTCCATTAGTAACGTTTTTCATAATGCTAAACTTTTAATAAGTTATGTTTTTATAAAGTTGTTTGTCACGTTTTTATAAGTTATTTAAGTTTTAAATATTATTTGAACATCCACTTTATTCTTCTAGATATTTTTCTACTTCAATTAAAATTTGGGATTACTTATGTTGCTTGAACAAAGAAGGAATTTTAAAAGTTATAAGTGCGTTATAAAGGTAATAACACTATTATAGTATTATTACTTTTGTAATGCAGTTAGTGACAAGAGTGTTTTTACTTTTGTAATCATAAGTTTATTGTTTTATTTTTTATTTTTTTGCCTACAAATTTAAATTGGTTCGCCTCTTTAAAAATAAGGATTGCGGTTTTGTATAAACTAAAATTTTGATTACTAGATATTTTTCCAGATTTTATGTTTCGCATTCGCTTGATTCAACCCTTGTTATTACATTATTATTGTTGTTACATTAAAATTATACATATATATTTTACAAACACATTGCAATTTATATTTTTGCTATACTCTTAAAAAAAAATTAAGAAAAGGAAAATCATTCTTTTTATTTGTAGATTTCAAACTGTTTTGTTTTTTGCTTAGCCTTATCTAATTTTGTTGCTGAATGTAAAAACCACTCTAAAGAAACAAAAATAAAAACAGTACACAAATAATTTGAACTATTAATGTGTTTTTATTTTTTTTTATTTTAATCTCCTTTTATTTTGTTAGTTTTTTTTTGTTTTGTTTTTGAAACTTTTTCAGCATTGATTATTATAAAACTTGCGAACGGCCGTGTTCAAGTTGTCTAAATACTCGCGTGTGGTCATACAAGACGAAAAACCGCATGCCTTTCCTGGGAAGGCTTGACAATTAAAGATTCCACAAACAATAAAATTGTTTATATAATAATTTAAATTTTTTTAGCAGAATATGCAATTGCGCTAATTATATTTTTTTATTTTTCTCAAATTGAGACATTTTGCAGGAGAAGAGTTTGAAAATTTGATTTGTTGCCATATCAGGTAATAATGAAAAATTATTTTTCATAAAATGAATTTATTTTAATCAAATGAAAGATGTAATGAAATATAACAAAAGTGTATACTTATCTCAAAATGACCATAAATATGTATATATATATGTATATATATATATATATATATATATATATATATATATATATATATATATATATATATATATATATATATATATATATATATAATATATATATATATATATATATATATATATATATATATATATATATATATATATATATATATATATATATATATTAACAAACCGTTTACAAACCGTTACAAAAACCTTAAAAATTACTGTAGAATGACATCTGACGTTATAAACAAATCTACGTAAAAAACAAATCAAAAAACAAAAAACAAAAAGCCGTTATAGTTTATTAGTCCCCTGTGTCAAATAAAGATAAGAGGAATTTTTTTGAATGTCGACACTGAGATACAATTTCGTTTTTTTTATTCAGTAGGTTTTTTCCATTATGTGATAAAATTACATATTTTTCGTAGAGACAAAGGTGGCATATTTTTGTTGCTAGATTGTAAGGTGTACAACGTTTGACAATTTTCCATTCTATAATGGGCTTTATGTTTTGGTCTTTTAAGTTCCATACCTCCTTAGATAGTTCTGTGTCATTTCTATATTTAACTGATGCAAATGATTTGAGATGGTTAGCGTATCTTAGTTTAAATGGTGTATTACTAATGCCAAAATATACTTTTTTATTACAATCATGATGACTGGAACTTACGGTTGCTTGATAGACAATATTGTTAGACAAACATTGATTGTTCAAAGGGCAAAATGCCTTTTCTACGCAGTTACATCGGTTGGTTTTTAATTGATTTTTGTTGTGTAAAATTTTGAAATTATGTGAATTTATGGTAGATTTTAAGTTAGGCATGCAACTGTAGCTAATCTTAAAGGAATTTCGGTTGAATATTTTATGTAGCTTGTGGCCGGCTGGAAAATGTTTTTTTGTTTTGACGTTTAAACTGAATGGAGGGTTATACCAAATAATATTACGTTTACGTTGCTTTTTTTTGTTGATTTTGATTTGAGATTATTTGTGGTTGGTAGGTAAGGTTCGATTTGTATCCCGATTTTTTTAAAGCCTTTTCATACGGTGGAATAGCCTTTTTGAAGAATATTACCTCAGTGTCGACATTCAAAAAAATTCCTCTTATCTTTATTTGACACAGGGGACTAATAAACTATAACGGCTTTTTGTTTTTTGTTTTTTGATTTGTTTTTTACGTAGATTTGTTTATAACGTCAGATGTCATTCTACAGTAATTTTTACGTTTTTGTAACGGTTTGTTTACGTTTTTTGTTTGTATTAACGGCTGATGATTGACTTCAGGCATGAAACTTTAAGTCCCGCTAATCAGTTGTTTTTATTCATCTTAATATAATTATATATAGCTCTATTATTCAGTAATATTGAGCACTGTAACACGTACAAGAGTCTTCGTATTATTACATCAAAATACTTAACCTCGAATATATTCTATATATCGAAATCTATTCAAATATATATATATATATATATATATATATATATATATATATATATATATATATATATATATATATATATATATATATATATATATATATATATATATATATAAATTAGTAGAAAACCACTGTGTTTCATCAATAAAGACTCATCAGAAATGAGTGATCAAATTAATAAAACTTCAATTTAAAATTTATATTAATATATTAAATAAATATTAAAATTTGACCCTGAAAAAAAGAATACAAAAAAGCGAAATAGAACTAGAAATGTAATTTGGTTCAACCCCCCATATAGCAAAAATTTTTCCACAAACATTGGAAAAGTGTTTTTAAAATTGATCGATAAGCATTTCCCGCCCTCTAATAAATTACATAAAATTTTTAATCGAAATACTATTAAAGTTAGCTGCAGTTGCACAAAAAATATGGAAAGAATTATAAAAGGTCACAACAATGCTTTGTTAAACAAAAAAGAAATCCAAAATGAAAAAACTACAGAAAATTTTAATTGTAAACAAAAAAAAATTGTCCAATGAGTGGAAGTTGCTTATCAAAAAATGTGGTATATAAATGTGTTGTCTCCTCTAAGAATGTACCTGATAAACAATACATTGGCATAACAGAAGGTGAATGGAAAAAATGTTTTGCCAATCATAAGCAATCTTTTAAAAATAAAAAGTGTTCAAAAGACACCATGCTGTCAAAATATATATGGGAATTAAAAGATAAAAATATTGATGATTTTACACTGAATTGGTCCATCCTTAAAACAGTGCCTGCATATAACAATATTTCCAAAAAATGCATATTATGTCTACAAGAAAAATTTGAAATAATTACACATACAAACCAAGAATGTTTATTAAACAAAAAATCAGAATTGATTTCTAAATGCAGGCACGAAAACAAGTTTCTCCTAAAAAACTATAAAAATAAGTGAGCTCAAATAATAGTTACATTAACTCCCCTTTGAAAAAAATATATTATTTTTTAAAAAAGCTTAAGTAATCATTTCTAAAGAATTCTTTTTACAATAGTGTCAGCAAATTACACAAATGTTTGAAAAATTGCAGTAGTTAAGAGATGTGATTTCCTGTAATTTAATTTTTGGTATAAATTGAAGTTTTATTAATTTGATCATTCATTTCTGATGAGTCTTTATTGATGAAAACAGTGTTAAATGAGAAAAATTTTTGCGTGATTTTCTACTAATTTGTAATTGCTCTGTTCTTTTAAGAACATTGAGCACTATTTTTGTAGAATACATTTTAAATTGTTTAAATATATATATATATATATATATATATATATATATATATATATATATATATATATATATATATATATATATATATATATATATATATATATCAAGCCCAGGAAGCTTGTGTGGTCAAATGCCTGGTTCGTCTATGCATAAAGTAATTTTTTAGGACAACATGACCTTGTTTTTATATATTAGGCATTTTAGAAATTTGCGGGAAAATAAAGCTATAAGAAACTAGAGAGAATAAAACAGCAATACTTGAATAAAAGAACCGAAGACTATAGGAAATAGAAAATCTAAATAAAATTAGCTAAAAAAATTGAATATTAAAAAAAGAAAGTTGTTGTCAAAAAAATAATTTAACTAAATGTTACTGTTTTTGTTTTGTTATTTTTAGGGTGATTTTTATTTTCCACTACCAAAATTGATACAAGTTGAGAAAAGAAGATGAAAAAATATAACGAAAATTAAAATATTTTTTGATATACTATTTTTTCGCAACTTTTTTCCATCAGTATATTAAGAAATATAATTTGCACTAGAAACATGGATAATTTTTCAATTTTATATTCAAATGTTTTTGCTAAACTTTACTGTTTTTATAAATGCACAGGAAAGTGAGAAAACTAAATTCTATTTATTTGTAAACAAAAAAATTTTTTTAACAAGTTTTTTGATGTAAAAAAAAAAACCTTGTTAATACTGATATTTAAATATAAAATATTTGGTTGTTTTCAATACCCCCATTGGCATAGTCTTTACTTTTGTAGGATTATCCAAATTGTGCATCCAAACCCTTTGTTTATTTCCTGATGAACTATCTTTATTGACAATGCTCGAAAAGTTTGTAGGCTAGTGCATTTTTCATTTACTGAACTTTTTTAATGAAATGTTTTACCTATTTAAATTTTTAAGTTTTTAAATACATTTTTTTTTAACAGAGGAATCGTTATGTTTATTATCTCTTTTAATTCCTATTCCTATTAACATTGGAAGTTGGGCAATATAAAAGAAGCAATTTCAGACATGCATCATATGCGATAAATACATTTATTAAAGAAACCATATTATTCTTTTATTTTAACATATTCTGTCATTACAAAATTTATTAATAAAATAATATATTTTACAAATAAATAATTTTTTATTTATTTTCCTATTATATAAGTATTGAGAAAAAAATGCCAAATATAGCAAAAACATTTTTAAAGCAAAAAGACATATAAAACGAATAAATGTAAGAAAAAAAACTATTGAAGTTTCTCATAATTCTTGCATACATAGCATAGTAGTTTCTTAATTATATGGACTGATAAAAATCATGAATAAATTGCATATCAAAACTTTCAATTGTTGTTAAAATTGTTTTAAAAGATGTTTTTTTCAACAACCACTCTAAAAAAAAGGATATAAATGTTGTATAAAAATGTTATACAAAAATATTTTTTATTTACTTTTTTTAATTATTAAGTTTTCTAGTTTATTTAATTAAACTTGATATTTCGTTACAATTTTGTTCCTTTTTTTAGGATGTTTTTTTTTCTTAGTAGATAAGTTTAGCTTTTTGCTGCAAATTATTGAAACCCTTTATAAGTTAAAAGATGTGAACTGCTGTGGTCAGTTTGTCTAAAAAAGTTACTTCAAATGTGGACAAACAAGTTGTGCGACTGCACGCACTTCCTGGGAAGGTTTGTATATATGTTTATAAACCTATAGTAAAGGCGTTAAATATACTGTTTGTGGTAAAAAACTGTGGGCAATATTAAGGTTAGATAACAACAAAACACATTAATTGAGAAAACTAATTAAATTTAATGTTTTTTTAAAAGACCACAAAAAACGCAAGTTAAAAACCTAGGATGTTTTTAAAAACATTCTGAATGTTTTTATTTTAATTTTTTTACTTTAAAACATGCGTAGTGTTGCTACATTAACTATCTTTTAGCCTGCCTCTACAAGCAAGTGCTGCTACATTGACCATCTTATAGCCTGCTGCTACATTGACTATCTTATAGCTTGCTGCAAAATTAGCATCTGCTAAAGTTGCAACAGATGCTAAAGTTGCTAAAATCTCTTTATCGAGCTTGACACTTTCTTACTCTGGATTCTATTCTCTAACCCTATAAATCTTAAATCCGACCTTGTATGGAATACTGTTGCCATATCTGGGCCAGATCTTCTAATGATGCCCTTTCTCTTTTAGACAACGTACAAAAATGCATTGTAAACATAGTTGGACCTGCACTTGCAGCCAACCTTCAACCATTATCACATCTGATGTTGCTTCTCTTTCTCTTTTCTACAAATACTATAATGGGCACTGCTTTAAAGGGCTAGCGTCTCTTATGCTATCTACTAAAATTCATTCTTGTGTTATTCGTCATTCAATTAAGTCTCATCTTTTTTCTGTGACTGTTCCTAAGTGTTCTAAAAACTCTTTTTCAAAGAATTCCAAAGAACTGATGTTCGAGGAAAAATTCCTCTATTTTTTTCCTCGAAATCAGTTCTTTGGAATTCGCTTCCTTCATCTTGCTTTCCTGATTCATATAATATGAAATCTTTTAAGTCATCTGTCAATTGTTATCTTGCTCTACAATCTTCATCTTTTCTCTTCAAGTAACTTCCAACTCTAATTAGTGGTTGCTTGCAGCTTTGTTGAAAGCAAAGATGTTAAAAAAAAAAAAGAAAAGAAAAAGACCAACAAAACAATTTAATTCTGCATTGTAGTCTGCATCTTTTGTGCTAATTTTTTATATAAACTTTTTTATACTAGCAACAGTGGCATAGTGTTTACAGCACTTGTCTCAGAATAGTGGGTTCATATATATATGTATATATATACATATATATATATATATATATATATATATACATATATATATATATATATATATATATATATATATATACATATATATATATATATATATATATATATATATATATATATATATATATATATATATATATATATATATATATATATATATATATATATACATATATATGTATATATATAAATATATATATATATATATATATTCTTGTTTTTAGAATTGAACAATACTTAAATCATAAGAGACCAATACCAACAAAAATAAATCAACCATTTTGTACTTCTGAGTTTTTATTCAGTATGAAGAGTTATGATCATTTGAAAGGTGTTTCAGAAAGAAAATTTTTACCAAACAAATCTGAGGATGGTTTAGTCAATCCAATTCCACAAGTTAAAAATTTAACAGAGTTTGGTCAGAGAGTGTATTGGGCTCTTCAAAAGGTCAGAATATGAGAAGTTTATTTGTGTTTTAGTAAAGACTATTAAAGATAAAACATATATATATATATATATATATATATATATATATATATATATATATATATATATATATATATATATATATATATATATATATATACAGGCTTTGGCGGGAAGCAAGAGCTTTAGATCTCGCTCTTGCACTCCCCTAAAACCAGGGTTGCAAAAAAACTGTTGTTTTTTTTGAAAAAAATCAAAAACCATAGGTTTTTTGAGAAAAACAAAAAAAACCATAGTTTTTTTGGTTTAAATTAGGTTTTTACTAAAAAATGCAGTATTTAGTTATCCTTTTAAATTAAAAAAAGCATAACGTATTTCATTTGAGTAAACTATATTCTTTATCAATATTATTGTTATATTTCATCAAAATTATTTAATACATCATTGTTTAATGTTCTATATATATAAATACAAGCTTTGCTGCTTTTTCTACTGTCAATCGGTTTCTTAACTTATAATGAACAAAACTAATAGTTGAAAAAATGCTTTTGATTCCAGCACTAGAAGCTGGTGCATTTAATAAACCTTCAATATCCATTATGTTATAGTAGATTTGGCTTTTAATTTGAATAATATTGGTAACAAATTCTTGAACTCTTTATCTGCGAAATTCATGGCAGCTTCATTTTTATTTTCAGAAATATTACATCCAAAATATCTAGGATCTAGTGTGTTTGCCATGAAATGAGCATCACTGACAGTCTGAAGATATCTAGATTCAATTTTTTTTTGTTTTTTTGTTTGTTTGATAAAATTGATAAACTGTTCATCAAATCTTTAAAAATTTCAAGAGTCACTTATTTTTGTTTAATCTCTTTGCAACTTATATAGAGCTACTGCAATTGGTTTCAATATTTTCAATAAATCTTCTGTGTTTTGCTTTATCTGTATATCAGTTACTTTTTTACCAATCCAAGATCCAAGTCTTTATTTTTTTTCAAACATTGTAAAAATAATGGTCCATTTGTTGACATATTTTTCAAGTGAATCACATTCAGAATTCCAGTGAGTTTCAGTAGGAAGTGGCAATTTTGTTCCTCCGCTTAATTTATAAAGTGCTCCAGCTTGATGATTATTTCTTATATATTTTATTAGTGTAACATGCTTGCTCACATTTTCAATGTTAAGATCATTTGCTAAAAAATTCAGCATATGAGGAGCACACCCATAAGTTATGACAATATCTCTTTCAGATAACAATAGTTGTCTCATTGATTTCACATTAGCTGCATTGTCAGTCACAAAGCTTTTTACTGTGCATCCAAATTTACGTCTTCCAAAATCTATTGCTTCTCTTGCTAATTGTGTAAGATATTCACCAGGATGTGAATGACCAGAAGTGTTGATTGTTTCTACTAAATTGTTAATTTTATCTGTAATTACAGAAATACAAACTATAGGTTCATTATGTATATTACTCCAGCCATCTAAAGACATGGCTACAATTTACCCATTCAATACATTACATTTTTCAATTTCTTCTGTGTAAACCCTATTTAATATTTCTCCCCCAATTTCTGTTCTATTAGGTAGAGTGTATCCTGGATGAAGCATATTGATAATATATATCTATATTGAAGATTAGTTATATTTGTGAACGTAATCCTGTCTTAGTTTCCTGTTGTAAGTTCAAATCTTTTTAAAAAAACATTAGTTTGGTTTAAACCAACATTTTTTAAATTGGTTTAAACCATGGTTTAAACCAATTGTTTAAACCAATGATTTAAACCATTTGGTTAAAACCATGCAACCCTGCCTAAAATGGTTTACGGTAGCAATTTATGGCTCTCGTAAAAGTATAACTTTTCTCATGAAAGTATAATTATCATTGAAACTAAAATAAAAACACAATGTCATTTAAAAAAAATTAATTGCATAATAAACTGCAATGCTTCTTAAAAAGCACGGTTGTTGCAAAACAAAATTAAAATTAAAAAAGGCGTCGATTTAAATGAGGAGCAGCTCACACAGCTTCCCAAGTTCTTTTTCGGAGTTTTTCTCTGCTCTAGTGCTCATTTTTTTCCGCCGAGGCCTATATATATATATATATATATATATATATATATATATATATATATATATATATATATATATATATATATATATATATATATATATATATATATATATAATGTATATATATGTTTAAGCAGTAGTGTTGTAGTGGTAGAGCGCCCGCTTTATAAGCGAGAGGTACCGAGTTCGATCCCCACCACATAGGTAGTGCAGGGCTCAACTTGTTTCTCTGTGCAGTGGCCTTGTTCATCAAGGTTCGTGTTTCGGAGTTATAGAGTTAAGAGAGGGTTTTAACCACAATTAAGTAGCCTCGTTGTCTGTAGTGGTTTATATATATATATATTTGTAAATATATATATATATATATATATATATATATATATATATATATATATATATATATATATATATATATATATATATATATATGTATGTATATATATTATTTGTTCCAAAAAACAACTTTTTTTAAAAATTTTAGAAAAATTTTTTTTTGTAGGGGTAGCTCAACCTTCTTAAACATCAGACAGGTTCCTAATATTATTAAAATAAAATCATTATTCAAAATTTCACTGCTTAAAAAAATACATTTTTAACTAAAAATAAAAATATGCATTTTTACAAAAAATTTTATTAACATTGTTTTTCTTAATGCTTGTTATTTCAATTTTTGATAAATATCTTATTTTTCATTTTAGTTTTCATAAATATTTATTTTTCTTTAGTTATCATAAATATTTTATTTTACTTGCAATAATTATTTATTTTATTTTAGTTATCG